GTTTTAATAATGTCCTTTCACTTAGGGACACCTATAACTGCAAGAGACTCAGTACTGACTCCCAACAGCTCCACTGAACATGTAAACTAAAAGATTCCTTCCAGCTTCCTGAATTGGGTGATGCCCTCATGATTAAGACTGGAAAAATAGATAGGGTCACACAAGTCAAAAAATGAGAAAAACATTCATTTGGAAAGCACATTGGAGATCATTCACTTGAAAATCGGAAATAGAGCAAACCCTTCCATTTTATTAAGGCAAAAACTTCAGCGGGTTACCATGGGGGAAATTCTGCAAACTGAATGCATCCCAGCTTTTCCCAGGAAATCTTACATGGAGATGAATCACCCACTGTCCATATGCTTTGCCATATTTCACCAAGCACATGACAGAATGCAACTTAGAAAACCCCCACAAATGTCATGCCAGTGCTCAGCCAGCCCTATCCATTTTGAAAATGGTGGAAGTGGGGATTCTAAAGGTGGGTTTTATGTACTTGCAATGATATGCTTTAAAATGGACAAAAATAAAACAAAATTCTTTTAAGAAATTTTAATTCCAAGAAACTACAGAGAATAAAGATTCTTTTAAAATGGTTTTGCCTTAGATAGCTCTCTAGGTTCACATTTGAATGGAAAAATGTTTATCTGCTGAGTTAAATTCACCCTATACATCACCATCCACGAAGGGATTTTAGCCAAATCGCCTGAAAAGTCTGCAGCAGGTAATCGGCGTTTCCGCACACTCTGAAAGTTGCACTCCTAATTTTCCATGTTTCATGGAACGCACGTTTCCTTTAAAAACTTTTGAATTTGCTTTGGGTGCTGGTTCTATGTCTCATCCAGAAGTGGGAGGAACAAGTCAGCTGTTTGTAAATAGAAGGCAGCAACTGAGAAGGGATTATAATAATTTTCACTTTGATAGTATCTTACACTTGAAATTTCAGGGAGCTTTGCAAACTTGTAAGTATTATTTCTCTCATTTCTATTAGGAAGAAAACTGGGTCACAACCCACCCAAGATAGTAAGTTAGTTAAAGTCAACAGTACAAGTGGTAAGTGTGATATCCCCTTTGTAGGCCATTGAATCTCACTTCCTGTGAGTCACGCCAAGTCGAGAGATGACATCATTAGGGCTGACCCCTGTGAGAACTGTACATACATAAAGCCCTTGCAACCACATGGAAATCATTGCTGGTCCTGGGGAAAGTCGTTTGTGTCCAAGATATGATTGATCACATATTCACAGCTGGAGATTAAACAGATTCAAAGATGTAGTGGTGACCACCTTTTGCCATCACTCCAAAAAGAGTAATGAACAGGGTACCAGGAACCTAGCCTCCACATGTCCAGATGCTTCTCCTACTCACCCTCTACTGAGCATTCAATACTATTTTTTTAAATGTCAAGTGCTATTTATTTTGACATTTTAGAAATGTCCCTGAAAGACAAATCAGTGTCTTTAAAGATGAATAATCCTGATAGTAAATTTATGGCTTTGAAAGTCAACACATATCCCTCCTTTCACCAGGCTGGCAGGTTTTGAAGCTTTTTGCAGGAATTAGAAGTAGCCTTGGTCCTCTTGGCCAAGATTGACCAAACATTCAGGCAGTGATTTAATATACTAGCCAAAACCTAAACTAGCACTCACATGTAAGCCTTTTTTATTTCTAGGGCTGACAAAGATCATACAAATAAACATACATAGTCAGATGCACATTCCAGAAAATCAGTACAGGCAGAACCCATTTTCTTTTTTTCAACCAATGTATCAAATTAAATACAAAGTCAAATTGCTCTATAAGATAATTTAATCCCTTGGACCAAATTCGGCCTGCCTTCTGTTTTGGTAGGTGAAGGTTTCTGGACAACCTGCCACGCTTATCCATTCCCAGATTGTCTGTGGGCTGCTTTTGTGCTACAACAACGTGGTTGAGTTATTGACACAGAAAATGTGTGGCCCACAAAGGCTACAGTTTACTTTCTAACCCTTTATAGAAACTAGTTGACAACCCCTGGCTTATTCTATAAAATGAGTTAGCCATAAAAGATCCTATAAAATTATGAGGAAACAGTAGTCACGTCTTTAGAGCAGATTCAGGGGAGGTAGCCTGGTTAAAAATGCCCTCCCTGATCCTGGCTGTGGTCCATGATACCTCCCCACCTACATCCATGAGCCATGAATTGACCATAAGGGAAGCACATAAGGGAAGCTGAGTCTGTCAGTGATTCCCAGTAGGGAATTATACTTCACCTCAGAACCATTCATTGACCTCAGATACCCATTTGTTCCTTTTCTAGCTACCAAACTCCCTGGTCTTAGCTCAGCACACCGATGCTCAGTCAACATTGTCAGGTGCTTCAGAAGCCAAGGAGGATGAGGAGCAACAGTCTCCTAATTTAGAAATTAGATAAACAGTGGTTATTTTAATGAGAGCAGGTATAGGGAGGTGGCAGTGTAGTAGTCAATGTGAATGGAAAGTGAGAAAGAGAAGATGAGAAGTGTTGATTGTGCAGGCTTCTGCAAGAAAGGAAAAGAGACAAGAGGGCTGTCCTTCAAGGAAGAGGCTTGTTAAAAGGGTTTTGTTTTGTTTTGCTGATTTGTTTTAAGGATGGTGTATATTTAAACGCACTAACAGGCTGAGATCAAGAATCCAGGAAAAAGCCAGAGGCGGGAATCTGAAGATACAGAACAGATACAGGTGGCAAAGCAAGAACTCAAAGAATGGGAGATCAGGGGGTTGAGAGACAGGTGGAGGGCTTTGCCTTGGACAAGAAGTAAACCCACAGTGGCTGCATGGATGGCAAACACCAAGGCTCGCCCTGAACCATAGAGCAGGTTAACGTAGCAGAAAGGCAGCCCCCAGGGCAGCTGAGGTACTTGTGCCATCGGCCAAAGGGCCAATGACGAACTAATGTTTCAAGTGGCAGTTGAGGGCCCAGATACACCGAATAACATTTCAGAGAATCCCCTGCTTTCCCTCGATGTTCTGCCTCCTGGGACATCAGTCTCAAGCCATTCAGAAGTTCCTGAGAAACCTCGAAGCTGGCTTGAAAGAAGCTATGTACCTATTTGCAAAAATCACATTTGCCTTTTAACTACACTTTAGCTCTAACTTACAAACCAGCCCAATGTTTTCATACCTGTATTTGCACAAAATGTAGAGAAAACGTTGTATTTCATAAAGAGTGAAAAGCATGGGAATCAGGAGAACAATTAAACTGTCAGAGGAGGAAGCACTTTCTGGTGTTGATGCTGACTCTCTGTTTACAATAGCACTTGTTCAGGAAACCTTCAATGATTCATACAGAAAACAAAATCAAGAAATTACTTTGTCAAAATGTGCAAAGTTAACCTCCAGGGATTTGGGGAGGGGGCGGAGGGAGCAGTTCTGTAATTACAAGTCGCATGGAGGTACTTCACTCTTGGCAATGATGGGGAAGTGCAAATTGAAAAGTATGTAGTGACAGTTGGTGGCAGAAATCCTAGAGAAAACTAAGCCTGCCAGGTACCAATCGGTGCATGACAAGATCATCGCAAATGCTTGGATGACTCATATTTTCCCTTAGAGTTGCACGCTGGTTCTACGATATGTGATTTTTGAGATTTTATGATTATACCTGGTTTCACACATGGTCTCAGGAGACACCACAATCTTTTTATTCGCTCCCTTCTCTTGGGTCAAAAACCCAGAGGGGCGAAAAATAATCAAACTATTTTGGAGGTTAGATATCATGTTGGGTTTTTTAAGAGCTATACAAAGTTAAACTCTCATGGTTTTGAAATTAGCAAGGATAAATAAAGCAAACAAACAGATGAAACCTGACACATGGTGAGCATCGCATTAGCAACAAACGTTGACTGTGCACCCTTCTTCCAAGTAAGGGGAAGGGCTGAGTGATTCCATCCATCATTTCTTCCCTCCTGCATCCCGTAAGTAGTGTTAGGAGACACTGTGCTGGCATGCTAGGGCTGCTGCAACCAAGTCCCACAGACTGGGTGGTTAACAACCGAAATGCACCATCTCATGGTCTGGAGGCCAAAACTCCAAGATCAAGGTGTGGACAGGGTTTGTCCCCTCTAAGGCAGTGAGGGAGACTGTCCTGGGCTCTCCCCCAGCCCCGGTGCTTTGCTGGCCACCTTCAGTGTTCCTGGACTTGTAGAAGCGTCACCCTGATCTCTGCCTTCATCTTCACATGACCTCCTCCTGTGTGTGTGCCTGTGTTCAAATTTCCCCTTTTTAGAAGGACACTAGTCATCCTGGATCAGAGTCACCCTAATGCCCTGATCTTAACTGGGTGTAAAGACCTTATATCCAAATAAGGTCATATGCTAAGGTGCCAGGGTTTAGGACTGCAACATATCTGTTTTTCTTTTTTCTTGTTACTTCACTTTTTTTTTTTTTTTTGGTGGAATGGGCAGAGGGGCCACATTCCATTCCACAGCAGGTACTTACTTTGAACTTGGCCCTTCATCCCAAGGTGAAGGTGGGCAGTGGTCAACAAAAGAGAGTCAGCGCTTGTCTTCATTGAGTTCAGAATCAGGAGGAAGGGCCAGTCAGTCGATTAACAGGCACTTAGCAAACAGTGACGTCATGACAGTTACGGTGAGGGCTAGGAGGGAAAGCCCGCGGGTGGTAGGAAAATATGCAACGGAGGGATCCACACCGTTGGGGGCCAGAATCTGCTCCCCAGGAAACAGCGCGGAGAGGAGGCCTGTGTTGCCAGGCTAGGATGGTGAGGGCGTCAGCGGAGAGAACGTCCTGCGTGGGGGCCAGTCGGGGGAGCGGGTGGATCTTGGCAAACAGCAGGAATGGAAACGGCTGGAGCATATGTCTCAATGACATAGTCACAGAAATGAGAAGAGAACCTGCCATTCTCACTGACTGCTCTCTTATCTCCCCACAGGCTACTGCTCCGTGGGCTCCTTGCACCCACTCCCTTCCTCTCCTCTTTTTATAACATTTAGAAGCATTTCGTTTTGTGTTTTCTTATTTTTCAGGAAGACATTCATGAACTGCCCAAGGCCAATGCCCTGTTTTTAGAAGGCATGTTCCCCATACCTGGCTTCTGGCTACCACCTTATAAGAAGCAAGCAGTGACAGCTCCCAGTCCCGAGCCATTTGCTGAACTGGGCACTTTTCCACCATGTTCTAGCATCCTCTATGGCATAGTCATTAAAAGCCCAGATTCTGGATTCAGACTGCCTGGGTGGGAAATCTGTCACAGCAAATTTGCTCCGAATCTCCATTTCCTCAGCTGTAGAACAGGCATGCAGAGAGTTCAGCACTCCGAATACCCTGCTCCCCAATTTGTTATGAAGATCAAATGAATGAATCCAGGTAATGCACTTGGAACATTTCCTGTCACAGAATGAGCAGAAAATAAATATTGGACATGACCACACTCAATGTAGGTTCTGCCTGCTTTAAATACTCTTTCACATGATTTTAAATGTCTTAGGGACCTTTTCACCCCATGCCTAACAAACCACATGGATATAGTACATGCACAGTCAGTAATCACTGAGTGAATGAATAAATGAATGAAACATGTATTGAAGCAGTGCCTGAAATATGACACATTCCAATTTCTGCCTCAAATTAGAGATGGCCTAAAAGACTAAGGTCATTTCTAAGAGTCTTTCTTTAAAGAATTACTAATTCACATTCTATCAATTTATGGATTCATAGCTTGACTTATTATTTGTGAGCTAATTTGTGAATTATTATTTGTGACCCGATCTGTGAATTATTTGTGAGCTAATTTGTGAATTATCATTTGTGAGCTGATTTGTGAATTATTATCTGTGAGCTGATTTGTGAATTATTATTTGTGAGCTGACTCACAAATAATCTGACAACTAGGCCACAGTCGCTAAAAGAAAAAAAAAATGTGCTTGTTTTATTTAAAGTGTATTAAAGTAGTGACTATAGGTAAATATTTTAAAATATATAAATCATATGACCATGAAATGTCAGGGGACATTCTGAAAGCCCCCTGTTAAGAAGTCCCCCGTGTAAGTAAGATAGGCTCTAGGTCCATTTAATCAAAGGAAGTACGAACGTGTGCAACACAACGTGTTAGTTGTGGACACTAAAGGTCTTCAGGTGGTACTAGTGATGCACTGTTATGTAGTGTCAGCTTTTACATTTAATCCCCACATAATCATGGGAGGGAAATGTTATTATCATATTATATGGAAGTAGAAAAATGCAGACGCTGATTCAAAGCCAAGTTTCTCTTCAGGGACTTTCAAATTGCCATTTTTGTTTTATCCTAGAAGTATGCTTCTTAATCTCTTTTTCAAATTTGGTTCACAAAGGCATACAGCAGGTTTACTGTGTGTGTGTTTATTGATACATCATAACTGTACATATTTATGGGGTACATGTGATATTTTGATACACACATATAATGTACAATGATCAAATGAGGGTAATTAGTATACCCATCACCTTGAACATTTATCATTTATGTGTGTCAAAAACATTTCAAATCTTTTCTTCTACCTATTAGGAAATTTACAATATACTCTGGCCAGGAATGGTGACTGATGCCTGTAATCCCAGCACTTTGGGAGGCCGTGGCAGGTGGATCACTTAAGGGCAGGAGTTCAAGACCAACCCGGCCAACATAGTGAAACCCTGTCTCTACTAGAAATACAAAATCAGCCAGGCATGGTGGCATGCCTGTAATCCCAGTTACTCAGGAGGCTTGAACCTGGGAGGCGGAGGTTGCAGTGAGCAAATATCGTTGCCACTGGGAAACAGAGTGAGACTTCACCTCAAATAATAATAATTATTATTATTATATACATACATAGTATTTTTTCTTCCATGTATTTTATTGCATTTTAGGTTTTGGGGTACATGTGAAGAACATGCAAGATTGTTGCATAGGTACACATGTGGCAGTGTGATTTGCTGCCTTCCTCCCCTTACTGAACACTAGAACTTATTCTACCTGTATGTTTGCACCGACTAACAAACCTGTCTTCATCTGCCCTACACTTCTCAGCCTCTAACTATCATTTTACTCTCTACTTCCGTGGAATCAACATTTTTAGCTCCCATATATGAATGAGAACATGCAATATTTCTGTGCCTGACTGATTTCACTCAGTATAATGACCATTCACTTCAGTTCCATTCATGTTGCTGCAAATGGGATAAGATTTAGTGCTATTCTTAGAGCTGAATAGTATTTTAATGTGTATATTTACTATATCTTCTTTATCCATTCATCCACTGATGATATACAAGAAAACTCCACCTTTGTTTTTCCTCAAAGCTGGGGTAGACATTGAGAAAGGGAGAAAAGTATGGCACTTGGTGTCCTCTAGTGGCTCAAGGACTTGGCTCCAGGAATGGGAATCTCAGCAGCTGGGGAGTAGAGGAGAGCCACTCATGCTGCAGTGCCTGGTGTTTGAGCAAGGACAGTTCCTCGTGTGGGGTCATCCTGGCTGCCTTTCATATAGGAAATGGTGAGATTGGGCACGCCGGTCACCTCCCCAGATACTGCTGAACTCAGCTGATTATATATCTGCATGTGCTGCCATCAAAGAATCAGCAAAGGTAACTGACTAACTCAAAGAGAGAAAGGTTGATGACTTTGACTTACTCAGGAAGAAACACTGAGAAATGATCAACTTGTACATGCCAAGAGAGGCAATGAGAGACAAATAACTGAGGCTTGCGACAGTGTTTTCAAATGTTTTCTGTCTGAACCTGAGTATCATTATTGTAAAAATCACAGAATAACTGTAAGTAGGTTAAATAGCATACAGACATCATTGTAATTGTTCGGAAGAAATTTGTTATAGGCTATTTAAACTGGAAATTTTATTTCTAAATTTGCCAATCTAGATTTTATGAAGTTCATTTTTAAAAAGAGTAAAAATATGAATAAATACATTTCCCTTTCTTCTTGAGTTTCCTAATTCATGATTGATAGTTAAGCAAAAATTGTAATGTTATCTCATATACTTGTTATGAATATATGTAGGAAAGATATTTAAAACAATTATATTTTTAATTGGGAAGGATAAAGCATAATATTTCAACACTTCACTTGAACTGGTAAAATGTCAACATCAGTAGCCAGTGTTATAAATATAAAACGTGATATTTGAGCAATAACTAAAATGTCCATACAAAGAGATACACTCCAAAACTATATAAATTAATCAAAAGGACATCCAAAAAATGTTAAAGAGGAGAGAAAAAAAAAAAAAAAAAACAAGACAAGAAAGACAGTGGCCAAAAAAAAAGAAACAGAAAATAAGGAGAAGACAAAAAATAAAATAGCAGACATCAGTCTTAAACTATTAATAATTACATTAAATGTAAATGGTTTAAAAACACTAATTAAAGGCAGAGATAGGCAGAGTGAATTAACTAAATGATCCACGGGGAAAGGAGCCACCAAGCTAGCCTGGATATTTGAGAATTGAGGCAGCAGCTGCTGAAGCTACATCTGTGGGAAAGCTATGATGATCATGGTAAATTGAAAATTAAGGAATGGAAATACAAATATGCCTTGCAGACATTTGATATATTAATAACAAAGAAAGTAAATTTTAGGCCAGAGATGATAGCTCACACCTGTAATTTCAGCTACTCTGGAGGGTGAGGCAAGAGAATCACTTGAGCCTGGGAGGTGGAGGTTGCAGTGAGCTGAGATCATAGCCCTAGATGACAAAGCAAAACTTTATTTAAAAAAGAAAAGAGGAGAGGAGAGAAGAAAAAGTAGATTTTAGAGCTAATAAAACTACCAACAACATAGAGGGCCATTATATAATGACAAAATGGTTAATTCACCAAAAGATATACAATGTAAAAATGCATGGGCATCAAACAATAAGTTGTAAAATCTGTGAAGCAAGAACTGATAGAACTGAAAGGAGAAATTTAGCTGAAAACTTTAACACCTTCTTGACAATTGCTAGAACTTGACAGAACATCATTATGAATGTATAAGAACTAAAACAACATTGATCAAAAGTATCTAATAGACATTTATACAATACACTGGCCCAAAACAACAGAACACACATACTTTCTGGGAATTCTCATAACATAATAACAACATAGATTATATCCTGGACCATAAACCCAACCACAAAGATAACAGAAAAATATTCAAGCCCTTGGAAACTAAATAGCAGACTTCTAAATAACCCATGGGTCAAAGAAGATGCCTCAAAGACCTGCACATGTACCCCAGAACCTAAAGTAAAATTAACAAAAACAAATAAAAACATTGAATTGAATAAAATGGAAATCCAGCATATTGAAATTTGTGGAACATAGCTGAAGCGGTGCTGAAGGGAAATTTATAGTACTCAATGCTTACATTACAAAGAAGGAAAATCCTCAAATCAATAATATATGCTTTCACCTCAAGAATCTAAAAAGGAAAAAGAAAAATAAACTCAAAACAAGGTGAGGGAAGGAAATACTAAAGATTGGAGCAGAAATCCATGATATTGAAAGCAGAAAACAATAGATAAAATTAATGAAACAAAGAAACAGTTATTTGGAAAAAAAAAACAATAAAATTTACCAAGTCTCTTGCAAGACAGAAGACACAAGTAATCAATTATATGCCCAGTTTCATTACACAAGTAATGAAACTGGGCATATCACTACAAACCCTGCAGAAACTTAGATAAAAATGAACTGATTCCTGAAAAAGTACAGACAACTATAATTCACTCAATATCAAATACATACTTCAAATAGCACTATAACTATTAAGGAAATTAAATATGTAATTTTAAAACTTCAAAAGTAGAAATATATAAGCCCAGATAGTTTCATGAGAAAATTCTTCCAAGTGGTTAAAGAATAGCTAAAATCAATTCTATACAATATCTCCCAGAAAATAATGTGGAGAGAACACTTTTTAATTCATTTTATGGAGGTATTATTACTATCCTGATAACAAATCTACACAAAAGATAGTAGGAAAAAAGGAAAGTTGGACCAATATTCCTCACAAACATAGGTGTAAAAAAACCTTTAACAAAATATTAGGAAATAGAAATCATCAATATATAAAGAGAATTATACCATAACCAATGATTATATCATAACCAATTATTCCAGATGTACACAGCCAGAATGCATGAATGTTCAACATTCAAAAATTAGTCAATGTAACCTGTCATATTAATAATCTAGAAAAAAATCCAAGATTGTATCAATTGATGCAGAAGAATCATTTAACAAAATTCAACATTTATTCATGATAAAATCTCTCAGAAAAATAAGAATAGAGGAAAACTTCCTCAATTCGATAAAGAAAATATATTTTTAAAAACCCAAAAGCTAGTATTATACTTAATGTTCAAAAACAATGCTTTTTTTCCCTAAGACTGGGAACAAAGCCAGTGTGCCCACTCTCACAGCTCTTACTCAACATAATATTGGCAGTTCTAGCCAATAGAATAAAGCAAGGAAATAAAATAAAGGCATACAGATTAAAAAGGAAGAAATAAAACTATCCATATTTGCAGATAGGATGATTATCTATGTAGAAAATCCAGAAGAACCTCAAAGTTCTAGAGCTAATCATCTCAGCAGGGTTGCAAGATGCAAGATAGGTAATGAAAATCAAATATATTTCTGTATAGTATCAATGAGCATATGGACACCAAAACTAAAAATATTATTAAAAACTGCTCAAAACATAAGAGATTATTTGCAAATATAGCAAAACATATAAGATACTTGTGGGCTGAAAACTACCCAAAAAACTGATTAAAGAAATCAAGAAAGATATAAACAAACAGAAAGATATACCATGTTCATGGACTGGAAGATTCAATACAGTAAAGATGTCAATTCTCCCCAAATTGATACACAGGTTGAATGTAATTGCTATCAAAATTGTAGCAAGATTTTGTGGTAGCTATAGATAAGATTATTTAAAAATTTATATGAAAATGCAAAGGAGCTATAATGGCCAAAATAATTTTGAAAAATATATATGAAGTGAAAATAATTAGTCTACATAATTTCAAGACATTTTATAGCCACAGTAATCATGACTGTGTAGTACTGATTGGGGGGTAGACATATAAGTCTGGGAAACACAATAGTAAACAGAGAAACAGATACAAATATGCCCAGTTGATTTTTGACAAAGGTGCAGGAGCAGCTCAGTAGAGTGAAGGTAGCTTTCTAAACAAATGGTGCTATTATAATTGGCCATCTATAGGCAAAAATTCCAAAGTATCTCCAAAAATCTTCTATAACTAATATTCAAGTCTCGAGATAAAATATAACCATGCAAAAATCAATTATATTTCCATGATATCTTCAACCTAAACTTCACAGCTTCTACAAAAAATTAAATCCAAATAGATTGCAGGTTTAAGTTTAAAAATAGAGCTATATAATTTACAGAAAAAAAAATAGAGAAAAATTTTAGGATCTTGGGCTAAGCAAAGATTTCTTAGACTAGACACAAAAAGCATGATATATGGAAGAAAAAAATGATAAACATGGATGTCATCAAAAGAGAATGTGGTGAAACTGGATCACTCATATGTTGTTAAGAATATAAAATTGTTCAGCCACACTGGAAAACAGTTTGGCAGTTTTTTATAAAACTAAACTTGTTTTAGTTTTATATGCACCCAGCAATTGCA